GGTAACTAGGCATGTCTGATTGGGAAAAATGTAAACATTAAAAGCCTTGATATTTAGTTTAAAGCACGGCTCCAGTTATTATCTGGAAATGTGGTGGTGGTTGATACTTCCTGGCTGCTGACACCGCAAAGCTGTTGCCACCAGGTACTTGACAGACAAAAGTAATTAGTTCTGCGAGACCACAGTGTCTAATGGGACATCTGCTTGAAACCTATCACGTACTATATTTTCAAGATGTAAAGTTTAATTGTCTAAACGCCGAACAAGAAAAGCCCATACCATCAGTAACGGAAGACAGGGTAGGAAGGAATGTGCAGTTTTTAGGACTGACTTTTTCTAGCTCCCCTTCTCTTATGGAATAAAGTATCAGGAAGATACTACTCGTCATCCGCCGTAAACATCCTACTGCTGTGACATACCTGTCCAGCCAACAATACGATTTCACCCTTGAACGCTATCAATAACGTAGATATTTGCATTATGATGCAACTGTCTTCTGTCTGGCTACTTCCCAATAGACCTTTGTGGTATGCCAGGACCTCAATAAACAAGCGCTCCACCAAGCTTAGTTCGATGGTTCATCATGATATGTAATCCCAATGGACCTATTAAAGGACGAGTATACTACACTACAGTTTGCTCTGTCCTATTATACGACCGTGTGACATGGCCGTCAAACCCAACCGACAGCTGCTACCTTGATGTAATGGTCGAGCTTGCATGTCACAGTGACCCAACGGCTCAAACTTATGCTCCTTCGAGGTCCTACCATCCCGGAAAACTTTGTTGGATAATGGTAAGATCAAAAGCAGTTACCGTTGTAGTGTTAATTGCTGCGCTGTTATTGGGTCCGAGGGTGAATTCTTATTGCAAACTGGATGTGATGTGACAGCAGTAAGGTGTCTGCCGCGGATGGTGAGCAGTACCATGCTGATGCTACTTTCCCGATCAGAAGTGGGGTTAGAAAAGGTTAGCCCTAAAAACTGTATACTCCCATCTTCAAAAGGCTATGTGTGACAGGCCTCAGACAAAGACCCCATGGGCTCTGCGGTCACGCAAATCTTTTACTCTTTCAGGTACCCTACGGAAACAACTTCCATTGTTTGGGCAGCAGGGGAGTGTCAACCGCCCGCATGCTTCCACTAGCAGGCAAGATATACCCAAACATAACATGTCCTCCTCAACTATGTCTCATCCTTTGCCTTCACCTCCTGATACCAGTATTAAACCTCTTTAGATTTTCTCAACTTCTTACGATCAATGCCGTCGAAACCTCATTCCTAGTCTCTTAAGAATGGAAATACACTCACTAACCTTGTGCACATTCGTGCAGTAGGCGATGAGCCTCACCTATTGTGTGAGGACTATTGATAATATTACCTGGGTGCCCAAACTGGGCCGGGTGGGGTTCGAACTCATGACTCACTGGTCGGAAGTCATCTCCCTTAACCAATGAATCCCATCTCCACAGTCTCTCAAGACCTGGCCATCGATTTCATATAGGAGCTGTGACTCCTTCGTTTCGGGAGTTGACTCAACTAATGGGTCATGGATACGAACACCGCTCTACCTTTTGTGAAGTTTAGGCAGTCATGTGGCATCATTGTCTCGCACATAATATGCGGCTCATCGCCGACTACAAAAACGTGCACAAGATTGCTGAGTCCATCTCTTTTTCATTTCATATTGGAGCTTTCAACTTCCGAACCCTACGCCAAATCGGACAGCAAGCATCGCTCACCAGAACTAGAGGTTGTGAACCTTCATCGACTGAGATAGTTGGGATACGTACTACGTATGCCTAGTCACCAATTGCCTCGTCACACAATCTTGGCTGAGGTGGGTCCAGGCTGGAAAAAGGCCCGAGGTGGCCAGACTAAAACATGGCACCAATGTATGAAGTCTCTGACTGTTGGTTTAAGCCATGTAGGACGATGCAGACTAGGTGGTTGGGGTCCACGGGACAAGAGGAACCAGTGGTTGGAGACCCTAGGTGATATGGCTCAGAACCGAAGTCAGTGGCGCAGATGTATACACACATTATCCTCATCTTAACAACGCTATACCGAATCTCACTATTTTGTCACTCCTCTTTCCTTTCTTCTCGTACTTTATATTTCTTTTGACTGCATTCACTTATCTTCATCCTTCACCTCACTACCTTTTTACTTGATGTAGTGATATGAGGTGTGGCAACTCGGACCGTTACGCAGTAATGCCTGGTCCTATGTTGATAATGATGATGAGAGTATCAAGCCGTGAATGTATGCTGCTTTTGAGACATGTATATAGGACACGAGTATGGATCTGGCAACGTGGACATTCATGCAGTAATGCCTGGTCCTATTTTGATGTCGACGAGTCTGGTTTTTAACTCGACCTCCCCTGGCCATTACTGCGAATCCTCAAAATTCACTTTACGAGTGTTCGGATATTCAACGGCAAGTCCTCATGGACTCGTTGGTGTGAGCATAGCATTAAATTGTAGAGCAGAATGCAGACTCATCGACTGGATACCAGTCAACAGCCGTTCCAGTGAATGAATCTCTAGAAACTAGGAAGGATCGTGGGACCACGTGATGCCTATGCATAATATTAGCCTATGCGCCCAATGACTGCGTTTCGGATGTTGCGAATGGTGAATTCTGACAAGCTTTCAGTTCTGTTACGGAAAGCAAAACGTTGAGATATAGTCGTAATAGCAGGTGACACTAAGGCTCAAGTGTGAGAACTGAGTCAATAGGGAAGATATCTTGGAGATATCTACGGAATCCCATACCGTTGAACCCCGTGTACAATGAAGAGCGAATGTAAGTCAAGCGTAGACTGACTGACTAAGCAATGACCGCAAACAGCGGTGGATAGTGAATGCTAAATAAGTGGAAAACACAGTGGCGATAAGTACTAGTAAACAGTTATTTAGACCTATTAAGGAAACTGAGGTGAAAAGGTTTGTGGTTAGTAAAAATATAGTGCAGACGGATGTCTGTGATTCATGCACAGCAGTGACGATGGGTGGAACTCTTCAAGGAACAGTTCAGCTTGTCTCCAGCTACTATTGTTGCCCTGTATCCAATCTGAGCATGAATGGAACTCTGGGTGATATAGCTCAAAAGCGATGTCTGTGGCGCAGATGTATCTGCACATTGTCCAAGTCTTTATCGCTATTCTCAATCCAGCATTTTTTTTTTCATTTCTCCTTCCTCTCTCTTACTACTTTCTACGCCTTTTAGTCGACTTTCCTTTTATCTTTCACCCTACTACCTTGTTGCTTGATGTGTTGGTATTAGGTATGTCAACTTGGATCGTTATATTACCAACCTCTGACCCTGTATCGGTGATGATGACATAATGTGCATTCTATATCTGGTACTGTGGTAGGGTATGATTTCGTTTTTGTTTGTTTGTTTGATTTACTAGATAATAAGACTACTGTTTAGTGAATGACGTTCCGAAAAATATTCATAGTTAAATCATATTTAGGCAGTCACACAACTTTATGCTGTGCCCTTTATGCCTCAGGATCAATAGAATTTCCCTTGAGCATGGGACAGTTGCTTAGTCATTCTTATCGCAAATGCTAGGCATTAATTCAAAAGATAAAAACGTATCTCCAATCTTTTTGCTCCACGTCTGGTCTTCAGCTGTGCCGCGGCTAACAGTAGAGAGTGAAGTGGTTGAGTGTGTCGATCACCTCACTTACTTGGAAAATGGCATCAGCCTAACCTTGGTGGCTAGCTCAATGGCCAATGAAATCTCCGCACAGATACAAAAGGCTTGATTGGCTTTTGCCAACTGACGCCACCTATGGCGTCGCCATGATATCCCATTGTCTATTAAGGGTCACGTGTACTGCACCTGCACAACAGTCCACTCTGTTCTACTATATGGCCATTGAAGGTGAAAGACACGAGAAGGCTTCAAGTGTTTGACCACCGTTGCCTCCGTAGTATAAGCCATATTCCATGATGTCACCGCACCACGTGAGTAATGCACAAGTCAGGTGTAGAGTTTTAGGGAGTAGAGGTAAATCAATTGATGTGGTTGTGAACCTTCATCGACTGAGATGGTTGGGACACGTGTTACATATACCTAGCCACCATCTGCCGCATCATATAATGTTGGATGAAGCAGGTTCACGCTGGAAAAAGGTTCGCGGTGGCGAGACTAAAACATGGCACCAATGTATGAAGTCTCTGACTGTTGGTTTGAGCCATGTGTGGTGATGCAGACTAGTCGATTAGGGTCCACGGGACAAGAGGAACCAGTGATTGGAGACTGACTCTAGGTGATCGGATGGCTGACAACCGATGTCAGTGGCGCAGATGTATCCCCACACATATCGTCATCTTAACGACGCTATACCGAATCCCACCATTTTGTCATTCTTCCTTTCTCTCCTTTCGTACTTTATGTTTCTTTTGACTAAATTTTCTTATCTTCATCCTTCACCTCACTGCCTTTTTACTTGATGTAGTGATATGAGCTGTGGCAAGTTGGACCGTTACGCAGTAATGTCTGGTCCTATGTTGATATTGATTGATTGATCTTCAATCTGCACCTGTTTTAGGTATATACAAAGTTTTACTGTCTCAGAAACAAAAAGGAAGGGACTTAGAACTAAAAGAACCTAGAAAAAAGATTGTGTGACTACCATGATGAGATTGTGAGCAATAAATTACTCTTGAAACGCAACACAGTAAATAATGCCGTGCCTTTTTTTTAATATCACAAATTGACATGAATTGACTGTTGAAAATTTCTTGGAATGGCAGAGAGACTGGTGATTTTGAGGGTTATCCATGTATGTGACAAAAAGCCTACAGCACATCCTGTTCTCACATATTTCCAATGGGTGATAAAAGCTATGGTTTGATAGTTAACTTGATGCACAATATTGGTAATGTCGACCACTTTTATTTTACAACCAGTTTATATGTGTTATATAATAAGTGTAGTGCATGATGTCTTCTGTACAGATTCATTCTGGCGTTGGATCGATGGCCACTGCTGCCCTGGCCCCTGTGGCTCCCCGTCCACCCTCCAGGTCAGATCAGCAGCATAATGGAAACATCCAAGAACCTAATCGACCTTTACGGTGGAGAGTAATTGATGACCAACCTCATGTTGGGAAATATAAATTTATACGAACTATTGGCAAGGGAAATTTTGCCAAGGTCAAGCTAGCAAGTCATGTTATAACCGGACAACAAGTTGCTATCAAAATTATTGACAAAACTCAGTTGAGCCCATCAAGTCGCCAAAAGGTAAGTGCTCTGTTTAGTTTCCTTTATGAAATCAGCTTTTTCGAGAGGTGAGACTGATGAAGTTGTTGGACCATCCAAACATTGTGAAGCTCTTTGAAATTATCGACAATGATAAAATTTTATATTTGGTCATGGAATATGCCAGCGGTGGTAAGTAATTACTTTGTGAAATTTTCTCTTTACACATTCCACAGTGCTTGTTTCCTATAAAAAGTTTTCGTCAAGTTGTCCTAAATTTCAGTTCCATTCAACTTTTTGATTTGCTCTATTAATTTAGGGATTCAAAGCATTTCTAACCGGTGTTCGTTGTGGTATTAACCATCTTGGAGATAAATCATCTTTATAAAATTGTTCACTTTCACATCACCTTGTCCAAAAGACAAGTTAGTCATAGTTAACTAAAGAAACTAGCAAAAATCTTCATTAGTTAGGTCACGCCAAATACTTTTTCACTAATCCAGTCGTTTGGTAATGTTATACTCTAATCCATCCAAATCAACATAGGACCAGACATTACTGCGTAACGGTCCAACTTGCCACAGCTCATATCACTACATCAAGTAAAAAGGCAGTGAGGTGAAGGATGAAGATAAGAAAATTTAGTCAAAAGAAACATAAAGTACGAAAGGAGAGAAAGGAAGAATGACAAAATGGTGGGATTCGGTATAGCGTCGTTAAGATGACGATATGTGTGGGGATACATCTGCGCCACTGACATCGGTTGTCAGCCATCCGATCACCTAGAGTCAGTCTCCAATCACTGGTTCCTCTTGTCCCGTGGACCCTAATCGACTAGTCTGCATCACCACACATGGCTCAAACCAACAGTCAGAGACTTCATACATTGGTGCCATGTTTTAGTCTCGCCACCGCGAACCTTTTTCCAGCGTGAACCTGCTTCATCCAACATTATATGATGCGGCAGATGGTGGCTAGGTATATGTAACACGTGTCCCAACCATCTCAGTCGATGAAGGTTCACAACCACATCAATTGATTTACCTCTACTCCCTAAAACTCTACACCTGACTTGTGCATTACTCACGTGGTGCGGTGACATCATGGAATATGGCTTATACTACGGAGGCAACGGTGGTCAAACACTTGAAGCCTTCTCGTGTCTTTCACCTTCAATGGCCATATAGTAGAACAGAGTGGACTGTTGTGCAGGTGCAGTACACGTGACCCTTAATAGACAATGGGATATCATGGCGACGCCATAGGTGGCGTCAGTTGGCAAAAGCCAATCAAGCCTTTTGTATCTGTGCGGAGATTTCATTGGCCATTGAGCTAGCCACCAAGGTTAGGCTGATGCCATTTTCCAAGTAAGTGAGGTGATCGACACACTCAACCACTTTACTCTCTATTACTAGCCTTGGAGCCGTTGAAGACCAATCCTGGAGCAAAAATTTGCATTTAGTTAGTGAGAACCGCATCCCAAACATTCTCAAATCGCCACTTAAAGTGTTCAGAAGACTCTGCATCTTGTCAGCGTCTTCACTTAACAGGGCTGTGTCCTCTGCATATTCTAGGTCTAACGAAAATTCTCGTGTGATTAGGTCAACGTTCGTGTAACTTGGTGATGAGAGGGAGAACTCCATAAGAACATGTATGATAAAATTGAATAAGAATAGAGAGATTGGGCACCCTTGACGGACAACACTCAATGAGTATAGCTCCCTGGACATCTCACCATAGGCTGTAACACGCCCACAAGTGATTGAGTGAGTAGAGTACCTTTAATAAGGTGATGTACTTACTCGGCACGTCTTTCAGTAAGAGACATTGCCATAAGACTTGTCGACCAACGGAGTCGAACGCCGCCGTCCTCAGGTCGAGAAATGCAGCTATTGTCGGCAGTGGGTAAGCGTGACTGTGTTCCAGAACTTTGCGCAGTGTTAATATTTGGTCGATACATCCGTGTCCGGGTTTAAATCCTGTCTGGTTTTTTTCGGGCTCGCTGTTAGTGAGCTTCACTCAGGCATTGGAGAATTATAGAGCCTAGAATCTTGGACACTATGATCGTCAGGCTGATTCTTCTGTGGTTTTCACAAGAGGATTTCTCACCTTTCTTGAGGACTGGAATAGTCAGTGATTTAAACCAGTCAGAGGGATCATATTTGATTCCTACATGCTAGTTAACACTTCCGTCAACCTGACCAAGAGCATTCTACCACCATCCTTGTATATCTGAGGAGTTAGTCCGTCTGACTCTTCTGCCCTTCCTTGTTTCAAGTTACCTCTGATTGTCGACTGAACTGTTTCGTCTTTTGTGTAAATCACTGTTTTTCGAGTGGAAAAGAGCTACGCTTCGTATTTAGCAAGCCAGAGCACAAATGTTAGTTTTCCCGTATTATATAACCGCCAATGATAAAGTTGTGATGAAGGACAGTTGTATTTTACTTTGTTTTCAAACATAGTGTGCGTGTTGAAGTTTCCGTCTAAAGTTTGATAATTTGTCTGCGTAATCCCTCACTTGAAAGATGCATAAGTATATGACCTGCCTATTTTGCTTGTTGACAAGTACAAAATAGTTTGAAGTTTACGTCCAAGCCCTGCTGCCGATCACCATCAACTACCTAACACCAGTTAAAGTGCACCACGAGGATAAATAATGTAAGGAAGTTATGTGACTAAACCCAACGCAGGTGTTTATTTACTTGGGCATAAGCCGCAGTTACTGTATGAGAGGTTATGATGCCAACCGGTCGCTGGAGCGGTCATGGGTGCACACCTCTGAAGAGTCCCATACTAGGAAGAAACAGCTGACCAGTGCTCTCAGGTTTCCAATGTTCCTCCAGCAGTCCATGATGAATTCCAACCTAATGATATATTTCGTTTAATTGTATGAATATGCGTATTGCATCCTTTTTGTTGACTTGGTCACAGTAGAGAATACGGCTGTTTGTGTGAGCGGAATTGCCCGGAAAACGTCTAGTTCTGGAAACGGGGTCTTTGTACCCTGAAGGTCCGAGTCATTGTAATTTGTTCTACTTGATGGGAATAAAACGGTACTATTTTTTTGGTAATTGTTTTTTAGTTTAAAGTTAGTGCTGGGAAACGGAAAATATATTTGCTCACTACCAACTATTTATGGATAGTGTAATAAGAGATCACTTTAGTACATCGTTTATTTAAAGTGCTCATAATATGATTTCTACATAATTAGTATATTCTCATTTGTTATTTTCTTCATTGCCTACTGTAGGTGAGGTTTTTGACTATTTAGTTGCACATGGTCGAATGAAAGAGAAAGAAGCACGTGCTAAATTTCGTCAAATTGTTTCTGCCGTTCAATACTGTCATCAGAAACATATTATTCATCGTGATTTAAAGGCTGAAAATCTTCTTCTTGATGCTGATATGAATATAAAATTAGCTGATTTTGGTTTTTCAAATGAATTCAGTCCTGGTACAAAATTGGATACTTTCTGTGGTAGTCCTCCGTATGCAGCCCCAGAATTATTTCAAGTAAATGTTTTATTTTATCATTTAACTTCCATAAGAAAAGATAAAGTTTGGTTGTAACGAAGACAATTTTTTTCATTTCATATACTAAGCTGTACATTCGTGAATTTATGTTACAGTGGGCCGAAACGTTTCAGAATTATTTCTGGTTATGGGGCAATATGTATATATATATATATATTGAATAACTAGAAGTCAAATTATTACATATTTGGGTTTAGAATAGGAAAATAGATAAGAGATTATGAAATTAAATGTAATTACACAATACCAGATAAACCTATGACAGGGTAGAAAAATAAACAAGGGATTATGAAAATAAAATTGTAATTACACAGTGCAGGTTAAATCTATGACAGTCAAGGCTTTATGATGGCCATGGCAAAGATAAAGGTTGAACTTACCTTTTTGGACGCATAACGCTATTGTGAACTTTTGGATCGCTAGTGCTTCAGCTATAGACAAATGCCTTGATCTTACTGCCTTCGAGTAGGTTCATAGAACCCTGTAGAGGATTTTGAATAAGCTGTCAAAAGGAGCTAAGTGGCGTGAGTTCACGCGGTGTTCTGTTATTGGACTGGAAATACATTTCCGTTCTCCCTTTGACAGCCAGATTGGGTAGTGTTCACGAACACGTCTTACAAGCGAACGTATGGTACGGCCGATGTACTCAACTCCAAAAGAGCAAGTAAACTGGTATACACACACTGATGCAGCACAATGCATCGGCTTGTCTTTTATACATTGACCAAAATGTTTCTTGCAGGGGAAAATACTCTGAAGGTTGGTGGTGAAGTGTGTTCTGCCTAAGGATTTTAACAGACGTTTCATGAAGATGTCTGGAGTTATATCATTTTTGAATTCAAGATTTCACAAAAGAATCTTTTTCGGTGCCAAATGTGTTCGTTCAGCTGGGTTCTTTGGCTTTACGTTCTTATCCATTAACCGTAGTGGGAAACCGTTTTCCGCTAAAGTTCATCGAAGTATTTGCAGTTCTCCGTCAACACTGTCCTCAGTACATATTTTCCTGATCTTCAAGGAAAGTGAATGGATAAGATTTCTCTTCCTACATACCAGGGACTGAACTTGGCAAATTAATATGCTAGCCGTTCCAAGTAGGTTTTCTGTAGATCGATCTACGAAGTTAATTATCATCTTTTCTTTGGAGTTGAACATCAAGAAAATGGAAGATTGAATTTGATTGTGATTGTAGATCGAATTTGGTTGAAGAGTAGACGTTGTTGAAGGTATGAAGCAAGTTTGCAAGATTCATATTTTGATCACAAACTATAAACGTATCATCCACGTATCCTTTGTAAACATGAAGTTCATTGATTGTTGATGATAAGTTAGTGTTTTCCAGGCTTCCTTACTAATTGTGAATTTGTCCCTAACTGCCATCATTTATTTATGTTTACATATGTATGTTTTCAAAATACCTTCTAGGGTAAGAAATATGATGGTCCTGAAGTCGATGTCTGGTCATTGGGTGTTATTTTGTATACATTAGTCAGTGGATCTCTTCCATTCGATGGTCAAACACTTCGAGAATTACGTGAACGTGTTTTACGTGGTAAATATCGTATCCCTTTCTATATGTCAACGGATTGTGAAAGTTTATTAAAGAAAATGTTAGTCCTTAATCCAAGTAAACGATACACTTTAGAGGTTAGTAATTTTGATTATTTTACTTTAATTAGTGTGATTATTTAGTTAAATTGAATTTGGGGGTTTATGGGGATTTAGAAATTTTTCAAGTTGGTATTCATCATCGACTGACATCAGTTGGAGGAACATTGGAAACCTGGGAGCACTGGACAGCTTTTTCGTCCTTGCGTGGGACTCCTCAGCAGTGCACACTCGCGACCTTTAGGTTCCATGGCCAGCACGTTAGAATTGAGCCACTGGGTCAGAATCCAATGCTTCATATTTCCAACTTCTGTCAGTTCACGACATAGCGCGACCGCCACCCAATTTCATCGTTGGATATCTGCCCTCACGGCCACCAGGACTGACAGAAGTTGGAAATATGGACCATTAGACTCCGACCCAGTGACTTAATGGTAACGTGCTGACCACGGAACCTGGTCGCGGGTGTGCACTGCTGAGGAATCTCACGCAAGGACGAAACAGCTGTCCAGTGCTTCTAGGTTTCCAACTATTCAGCTAGTTTTTATTATATTATGCATCACAACAGACTGAGTAAAGTTTGCTATAAAAATGCCTCTGTGTTTACTATTAACTAAGATGGTGATGAAGGATCGTTGGATGAATACTGGTTATGAAGACAATGTACTATCTCCGTATATTGAACCTGAACCAGACTACACTGATCCTGTACGTATTGAAATCATGGTCAATATGGGTTTTAGTCGAGATGAAATAGAAAAGTCTTTAACACAAGGCAACTTTGATGATATTATGGCTACATATCTCCTCCTTGACAGAAGACGTTCTTCTCTTGATACCAGTTCACGTGATGGTTCAAGTCTTTCTTTAAGGTAATTTCAATAGTAAAGATTTTTATAGTCCCCTCTTTATATGTACACACCATGTGTAAGTTTTAATGGACCGATGATTCTTTTTGTGAGTCCTTAATCGATAAAGTTCAGCTGTTAGCAACGATTTGGAAATTGTCAATCGATCTCAGGTTGAGAAATCGACGGGATTGATTGTATATTGACTGAAATGTGTTCATCCATTTACAGTAGCATTTCGTTATTTAAGTGATATTTAACTAGCCAGTTACCTAATTACTAGATGAGATCATCAACCTTTAGTGACTTCATGCTTCAAAATAATAGTTTATGGCAGGTGTGGAGATTAAGCGTAGAGTATAAAGATGGTGATCCAGTTGATAAGGTTTTGAAGCTGCAGTAACTCAAGTGATTACTATATGTGTTATACATGCCAGTTCACTTTGAGTAATCAGCATAAATGTTCAGCTTCCAAGTGATAGATCCTGTGTTCAAACCCTATCCTATACCCTGCCCTTTAAGGCGTATGATTAATAATGTCACAAACCTCTACGGATTAAGTGTATTGACCTAATTACGGAGCTGCATTCATATCATCTACCTCGAGGTGGATTGTTAACTGGAACACCGTTAAGATGGATAAAAGCTAAGTGTAACCTGATAAAAACATGTAACATCATTCCAAATTAGGTTAATCATTTACTTATTCATTTTTATTATTATTATTATTATTATTATTATTATTATTATTATTATTATTATTATTATTATTTGTCCCTTGGGTTCCTAGTGGAACATAAGGGCTTCAGTAGCACGTCGCCATTTCCCTCTCCTTCCTCCAGTCTTCTTAACCTGGCTCCACGACATATCAGAAGCTTTCATTTCTTCCTCACACCATCTCCACGTCACCATGGGACGACCATCTCGTCCTTTCCCATTTGGCTTCCAGTCGGTGGCCTGACAGGCACGTGATGTCCCCAAACCATCTTCTCAGAGTATGTCCATTCCTTCTCCACCTTCTTCTGCATATTTGTTGGGTGATGGGTTTCTGGTTGGTCCGTTGCCAGCCAGAATTCTTTGTTGCTTATCCTCATTATTCTGGCCATCTGATCTTCAGTGTCAGTATCGAGTGAGCGTAGGCGGTAGCTGTCCATGCGATGTATGTCTGCAGTTTGTTGGAAATGCTTGATGCAACGCGCCAACTCTCAACCATCATATGGAAGCACTGACTTACTAGACTGAATTAATCTTAAAAATCCGGATGTTCTTCAGGCTTTCTGCTGAGTGCAGTCCCGTGCAGTGCGGTGCAGTAGATCTCCACACTGATTATTTCAGACTAATGAAGGCCTGTCTTGCTGTCTTTCCGATCCTGGCTTTGACATCGTCATCTGTGTCGCCACTGCCCGCCTGTAGTTGAAACGATGCTGTCTAGGCAGGTAGGTAGGTGAAAGACAACTTCGTTCAGATTTATTCCGTTGATGGTGATTAATGCTTGTTGTTGTTGTTTGTTGGCTATCTTCATCACCTCTGTCTTCTCTACGTCCACCAGAAGTCGGCTCCGTCTTCGCTGCCTCGCCTTTTCTGCCGACTTGTTGGTTTTCACCTGTATATATTCGAGTTTGTGCGACAAGACATTAAACATAATTCATCATAGGCGAAGTCCAAATGTTGTAGGGTCTTTTCATCGGTCTAGCCAGCGTACACTCCTCTTCTCGCTCCTCATAGTTTGTTGGGTGATCTAGTTCAGTTCAGTCGACCACGATGATGAAGATGATCAGTGATAATACACGGCAACCTTGTCTTACTTACTCTTGTCTCCACTTGAAAGGTTGATAAAGGTTTGCAGCACTAAAACTGTAGTGTTGAAGCAGCTGCCAAATTACTCGATAGTAATAATAGTAATGCTGTCTCATTGTATGTTGCATCAAATAAATTTATTTAATATGAAATTATACTCTATCGTTAGTATCCATGTACTACATTATTCTTCGACTGTGTTCGGCTAGCTTCCAAGAAATGTTAGGAATCAATGCATGAAAGTGTAGCCAGTTTACTGTCACCCATTTGATCACAGGCTTGAGCTCTACTCCATCTATATAAGATTTGAGCAGGCCAGATAGTATCATTAATTGTCATAAAATAGGTGTAGCTCATTGCCTAGTCTATGAATATGCATATAGCAGCTAAGAAAGTTTGTTTTTTACCATTCATCTGTTTAGTACCTCTGAAAAAGTATATTCGTTTGTAATGTAATAAAATAAGTTGGAAAATACTAAATATATTCTTAGGGAGGATTGAATAAAGTAGGTGATACTTTTTGATATCTAGTTTGCTGCGGGACAACGTATTTACTTCAATATGCTATGACACTTTTTTTTTTCAATATTTGATTATCATTTTTAGTTCTTATTATAGTAATAATAGTATAATTTTTTTCTATTTATTTGCAGGCAAAGTAATCATTTATTATCTACACCAACTCCTACAACTACCCCATTAATTACAACTGGTGGTGTTAGTTGTTCAAGTACTAATGCAACCAGTGTAGAGCATACCTCAAATATTTGTTTAGATGATGATGCATCCTCTATGCTATCGACAAATGCAAATATTGCACCTATAACTCAAAATGCACATTCAAGCTCAAAATTTACTATCACCTCTGGAGGTGGTACACGTTCTACAAACACAACACCACCTGGTACATCAACTACAGTAAACAATGGTGCCAACAACAAACCCCCTGTCAATATTATCGCACCATGTAATCATATTTTTAGTTCACTTTTACTTATTTGATATATATTATCATGCTAGAAAGCTTTTTATATGATGAATAATGGATAGTGGGATCCAGGATGTGCGTTTCGTCCTTTGGGGGACTCGTCAGCTGGATGTACTGCTTCTCAGTGAGTGATATTGTTTCTACTAGGACTTGAACTGAGGACGGTTTGCTTCAAATGCCAAAGCATTATCCACTAGACCACCGAATCATGATGGTCACTCGTGCGATAGGTGATTGCTTGTATTCGGTCCACTCAACAACGGGATAATACAGGCAACAACATTAAAACTAGACCCCTTGCACGAGAAGTGGTCATCGTGACTCGATGGTCTAGTGGGATAACTCTCTGGTGTTTGAAGCAATCGGTTGTGGGTTCGAGTCCTAGTGCGAACGACATCCCTGTCTGAGAGGCAGGTGTATTCAGCTGACAAGTCCCAAATAGGACGAAACGCGCCTCCTGGATTCGACTGTTAGCCAGTATCCACCAGTAATATTATAACTCAGACACAGGCAATATCGAGGCATCCGTGCAGGAGGCAGAATGCCAACAGAGACCGATCGATTCGGTCCACTTGACGGCAGGATAATTCAAGCAACAATATTAGCTTTTGATATTGTTTTAATTACTATTTATCTTAACTCCTTCGTAGCGTGTGCTTCTGGATCGGAAAGTCCCAGCGCTTCGGGTACCAGTACAATAAGTCCTATTTTACCCGTCAATCTGGCAACTACAAACACACATTCAACGTCAAGTGGAAATACAAATGTTAACTATAATACAGCTCTCAATGCAATTGAAACATCCTCTCCGTCTAGTAATGCTGAATCAGTTAAATTGATGAGAAGTGATCTTGTTCGTGCTTCAGATCGTCCTGGTAGAGAAGAATCTAGCCGAATTTTAGCACGATTACGAGGTATCACAGATGAAATGGCTACTCCTGTAGTCGGTGGTGGTGGCCTTACAGCTTATCCAAACGTGCCAGGTCAGCGAATCAGTATTGATGCAGGAAGCAGCACAGTTCGTCCTACTACGGCTGGTCAGAGAAAACCTGTTCCAATTAATTCACCCGGCTTGAGTACAAATTCAAAAGTCTCACCAAGCTCTAATTCATCCATGGGTAACTTTACGTGACTTGTTCATTTTAAATATTATTCTATTCATAGTTTTCTTTAAATAATTCTCTACAACTTGAGAACAATTTACCTCAATGTATATTTCTGGTAATTTCCCGTCACACTTCATAATTGTGTATATTCCGGCAAAACATTATAGTCGTTCAGCGTATACATCTCCAACCATTTGTTTTTGTTACATGCATAGCAAATCTAATCCGTACTGTGATGTTTCGCTCTAGGAGTAAGGAAGTAACCATAAACCGACGAAATCAACGTAGCACCTCACATAGAAGTACATCAGTTCAAGTTGTGACACTTCATGGTAACATGCTAAGAAGAGGTGAATAGAAAGTAATTGAGATCAAAATCGATAAAGGTGTATGGAAGGAGAGGAGATTTTACAAATGAAGGTTAGTAAGAATACCCATGGTTTAGAAGCCGTCAAAGAGTATATACATCTGTGCCACTATCACCGACTTTCAGCTACATCATCAAGAGTCCCTAACCATTGGTTCCTGTCGTCCCAGCGACCCCAACCAGCTAGTCTAAACCTTCCTACACAACTCACGGTTTGGTGCCACCTTTCAGTTTGGCCACCCTGAGCCTTCTTCCAATCTGACTAAACTTTTAGCATTATACGTCGTTGTATGCGGCGACTCGATATGTGCGACACCTCCAAAGCATCTTAGTCGATGAAGGTTCACAACCATATCGATCGACTGTTTCGCTTAGTATCCTTCATCTAACTTCGATTTTACTCATGATGATTCCACCGTAGGCAGCCGGGGCTAAGAAGACTCCTGTGATCAAAAACACATGATCTATTCATTTTCAACACTTGTCATACAGCTGTATAACACGATAGAACGGATTGTAGTGCTTTACTCTGGTGCTTTAATAGGTCGTCGGATATCCCATAAGTCGACGCCAGGGGTAACTCAAGTTGGCAAATACTAAACGGGCCTTCTGAATCCTTGCTGAGATTTCGGGAAGTGGTTAACACATCTCACCGCTTTATTCCCTATTCTTAAACTGGGAGTAGTCGCAGACTAGTTCTGAAAAGTTATTTTATATTTCACAGGTACGAAACGTATGCCAAGTTTCTAAAGATAGCTGAAGAGGAAATGCTTTTAGGCGAAGAAAAATAAGGTGTCTAACTTCAGCGTTCAAAAGATTTATGTCTGCAAAACTACTGGTAGTAAAATTCAAAACTAGCGTTCGAAGCTTCATCACAGTATTAAAATTTATTACCCTTCACGGTATTAGTACAGTTTAATAGGAAGCTGCCAAGTCTGACCACTTCTTTGCGTAATTATATATTTAGTCACATGGGTATAAACGATCCGGCTTGGCGGAAAGGCCTGGGCCTGGGTTACGTGCTTTTGACACTCATCAGCAAAGCGTACCTGCAACTTCAATGGAACTAATGTTTCATTGACGTAACAACTAAGTTATTTAGGCTGTGATTGACCCCCTGTAGGAATGGTTATGTTGTACATTGATTGGTGACTGGAGGGTAACTAGCTTCATGTTGTGTAGTCTCAAATACTGATCGATAAATGATGGAAAAATATTTATCTTATCCTTCTTTGTACTATTGTCATTGTTATATTTCGCGTTAATATTTCTATACATTGATATTTAGTTTCCTCCTATTCGTACGCACGCAATCTTCTCATCTCTTTTCAATGACAAAGAGTAACACCTCAGATTATGTAAACTCGTGCTTCATTTTTGTTATGATCATTATCACCTTTGTTTTAATCTTCCATTTCTATAAAACATGAAGTTATCGAATGTCTACATTGACTAATTTCTGTATTATTTTGAGATGAATTGGGATTTTTAATTTGGAGGTAGTGTTCATCACGGATTGATACCAGTTGGGGAACCATTGAAAATTTGGGAGCACTGGACAGCTGTTTCTTCCTAGTATAGGGCCCCTCAGAAGTACGCACCCACGACCTGGCTAGAGGTCGAACCCAGGACCTAAATTAAAATCCCCCATTCATCTCAAAAATATACTATTGTATAGTTCTCATTAGTGATATACTTCCAGGTGGATATCACGAAGTTCTAATGCGAAACCGTAACCTGTGGCGTCAACCAGTTGGAAGGGAAGTGGATGCCAACTAAAAGACCTTGGGTGATAGTTGCACTATATCGCGAACTGACAGAAGTTGAAAACCCACCCCAGTGGCTGATTGGTTAACGCGTTCACCGTGTAACCTGAAGGCCCTGGGTTCGATTCCTAACTGGGTCGTGTGTACGTACTGCTGAGGAGTCCCATAGTAGGATGAGACAGCTGTCCAGTGCTCCCAGACTTTCAATGGTTCCCTAACTTATATCAGTCCATGATAAATACTACCCCTAATTTCTGTTTTTAAGTACACATTTACTCTTATTGTTTTCCAATAGCATTGTTCTTCCTTACACCATATTTGTCCTTAATATACAATAGAACAGAATGAACAAGTGAATTTACTCTACACTAGACAGCAACAGATTTCATTCAGCAATTCAGAAGGATCTACACACTGAACAACCTTTTACAAACGAAGTAATCTGTAGTGTATATGGACAAATAGAAGTTTGCTGTTTATCTGTTTAAGTAGTGGTGTTCTACTGTATATTCTAATAAATTACTCAACAAACATGCACTAAAAGTTACTCATTTAATCTAATTGAGTTGTTCATCAAACGAAACAAGTACATCCAAATCACTGAAGTGAATGTTGCGTTTCATCATCAAACTAGTCGACTTCATGCATAATAATTATCTTTCTATAGCTTACTATTAACTTTACCGAATCATTAAGTGTTAGCCACACTTTATGTGTATGTACATAATCGAAGGAATAAAGATTGTAGTCAATCACTTTTCCGTTTATATTTGGCTCTGAGTAAAATCATTTTCCGAGGGAGAGAGAGAAAGTTATATGCTCAATATGCTGATGTAAATACATGCAAAAGCATACTGGTTATCTTCAGCTTAATTTTTCACACCATCAATTTAAGTATATTTACATCAGATTAAGTTGAGACAAGAACTAGGAGTCTCTTAACTCGGAACGTAACTACGAAAATTATCTTTACTATGATAAATTTACTTGTTTGTGGCTAGCTGAAGAATCCAGGATGTGCGTTCTGTCCTATTTTGGACTCGTCAGCTCGATGTACCTACACTCTAGTGGGTGATATTATCCCCGCTGAAACTCGAACTTCATGCCAATCACTTCAAACGCCATAGAGTTATTCACTATGCCACTGAGTCAGGGTAGCCACCTCTTGTACAACGGGTATTAGTTATTACTATTTGTTGGTGTGTTTGCGAGTCTCCGTTGTTTCACTGGATCAAATTGTCCGTTCTCTATTGGTATATGGATTCTTATGCGTATGCTATTAGAGGTCGAACAAATCGATCGAGTTAAACAATGGAGAATCGCCTCAATGATATAATTATACTCAAATTGGTGGTGTGGAGATAACCAGTATGCTTTTGCGTGTTTTTACGTAAGCGTATTGAGCTTATAACTCTCTCTTTCCCCCTCCTTCTCCCTCCCTCTCTCTCAGAAAATGATTTTACTCAGAGCCAAATGTAAACGGAAGAGCGATTGACTACAACTGAGAATTGCAAGCATATCAACTAATAGTAGTTATTTTTACGATTCAGAAAATAGTATATTGATGACAGATATCTGTTTCTCATTGTTTAGCTTTAATTACAACTCTTGTTTGCTTATACAGCACGTCGTACTCATACCCTGAATTATGGAAGCACAACACCAACATCCGGAGCTCCTCATTCTGGGGATCAACAATATCCTGGCAGGCGTCAACCAATTAATTCAAATACAAGTAATCGTAATACAGGTAGTAATTTTGACAATCCTAACCCCAGAAATTCTATTGCACTCTCTGGTATCACCGGGTTATCTAGTGGAGCTCCTTTGTCTCCACTACCTAGTACCAATTCATCTGATAAGTCTACATCTGGCAGTTCATGCACCAGTGGTAACAGTCAGATTACTACAAATGGAGCTGGAAGATTACCATCTCATGAGATCCGCAGGTTAGTTTCGAATGAATTCAGTAACAAAGAATTTAAGCAAATTTTCTGGTACTTATTCCCTTTTGTTGTAACCGTTCACAATCCTTTCTTTATATTTTAACAAGAACTGTGAACAAAACACAACCAGCAAAATGTGCCTCTTGACACCACTATGAAGACGCCAATGCAAATAACAACGATGGAAAAACACAACTTTTGCATACAGTACGCCACAAAAGTGTCCATCACGTGTGTAGTGCTGTTCCAAAGTAAAAGATACAAAAAAAATAGGGTACGATCATTTATTCTCGAGTCTGAACCTTGTCTAATAACTTCTTAAACCGACTCAGCTGCATGGTCCGTTCAACCACGTCTAAGAACTCGTCATCATCAATATCAACATAAGACCAGGCATTACTGCTTAACACTTCGAGTTGCCACACCTCATATCAGTACATCAAGTAGAAAGGTAGTGGGGTGAAGGATGAAGATAAGAAAATTTAGTCGAAAGAAACATAAAGTACGAAAGGAGAGAAAGGAAGAATGACAAAATGGTGGGATTCGGTATAGCGTCGTTAAGATGACGATAATGTGTGTATACATCTGCACAACTGACATCGGTTCTTAGCCATCCGATCACCTAGAGTCAGTCTCCAACCACTGGTTCCTCTTGTCCCGTGGACCCTAATCGACTAGTCTGCATCACCACACATGGCTCAACCAACAGTCAGAGACTTCATACATTTGTGCCATGTTTTAGTCTGGCCACCGCGAACCTTTTTCCAGCGTGAACCTGCTTCAGCCAACATTATATGATGCGGCAGATGGTGGCTAGGTATATGTAACACGTGTCCCAACCATCTCAGTTGATGAAGGTTCACAACCACATGAACTGATTTACCTCTACTCCCTAAAAACTCTACACCTGACTTGTGCATTACTCACGTGGTGCGGTGACATCATGGAATATGGCTTATACTACGGAGGCAACGGTGGTCAAACACTTGAAGCCTTCTCGTGTCTTTCACCTTCAATGGCCATATAGTAGAACAGAGTGGACTGTTGTGCAGGTGCAGTACACGTGACCCTTAATAGACAATGGGATATCATGGCGACGCCTAGGTGGCGTCAGTTGGCAAAAGCCAATCAAGCCTTTTGTATGTGTGCAGAGATTTCATCAGCAACTAACCCACCAGGGTTGATACTGCTTCCCAGGTAAGTGAAGTGGTCGACACACTCAACTACCATGCTGTCTATTGTTAGCCGTGGCACCATTGATGACCAATGTTGGAGCAACAATTTGCATTTGGTGATGGTGGAGAGAAATACGTCCCAAACATTCTGAAATCGCCACTTAAAGTGTTCAGAAGACTCTGCATCTTGTCAGCGTATTCACCTAACAGGGCTGTGTCATCTGCGTATTCCAGGTTTAACAAGATTTCTGCAATTCGATTGACGTCTGTGTAATCAGGTGACGAGAGGGAGACCTCCACGAGAGTATCTATGGTGAAATTGAATAGGAATGGAGAGAGCGGGGACCCTTGAGGGACAACACTCGATTAGCACAACTCCCTTAACATCAAGAACAAGAACTTGTCATGCACAAATACTTGTAGACAGCACGCGATTTCATTTCATCTCGCAGTATCACATTATATTATATGCCGACTGTCTCCTTATTTTCACCATCCCAGTCAAAATAATCGAGCAACGGAATCCAAGACACCCGTTCCGTCCAATTTGGGGCTCGTCAGCTGGATGTACCCCCACCCTGGTGATTGATGCTATTCCCACTGAGACTCGAATCCAGTGGTCATCACTTCAAATGTCAGAGCGTCAATAACTAGACCACTGGGGCATGATGGATACCTCTTATGCAACGGTTATTAGTTGTTGTTTGGTACTTGTACCATCTAGGCATTTGGATAGGAGCCTTTTTTCTAACAGAGATCGAACAATTTAACGAGTACCAAACAATAATGGAGCAACATTTGGTATAAAAGCCACTAAAACTACATGCATATGGTAGCCAAGCCATCAACGCCATTTTTTCGAGATAACCCCATGTATATAATGACTATCTTCACTTTACCCAAGGCAGCATCAGCACCACAATGTCGAACGAAAGAGATGAAACACATTCGGTAACCATGTATATTTTCGTGCATTAAGCCATAAGCCATAATTGTTGTTTAAGGACTGAATATACGACCTGACTGTCCTATACCTTGTTTAATGAAGCGGGCTCTTGACTGTGACCTTATGATTGAAAGTCGGGAATCTCTCTTATCAACTCTGTTGGTCAAGAGGGGCACTTAGTTGATGATACGATTTATGCAAACTGCAATTTATTCGAGCATAGATAGTAATGCCGAAAAAATATCATCCCAAGGAGTTACGTCTCCCTTCTACATGAAACTTATGGATAACAACAATAAGATCCAGTCGTACAAGGCAGTTTCAGCTCTAGCGCTTATCGAAACACTAGACAGCAGCAAGATAGGGTGCAGATACTTCAAGTTCCCTAGAACAAGCATATAGAAATCTGACCACCTAATTGCTTTGAAGGCAGCTTATCTAAGAGTTATATATATATATATATATATATATATATATATATATATATATATATATATATATATATATATATATATATATATATATATATATATATATATATATATATATATGATATCTCAATGGTTGAATGAAGTATCGTACTGATCAATGTTTGCGGCTGTATCTGTAAGGTAATTCATTCATTTCTTCGGGATCCTGAAAACTATATGTATCACTTGTTTGGTATTACAGTTTTCTATCTGTCTTATTCAAACTGTTCGAATCCACCGACATGTGGATTGTCACTAAGGCTTCCCTTTTGTCGTTTTACTTTTATGGAAACACAGTTACCCAAATTTAACGAAAAAAAACGCATAACAGTATAATATCATATCGAAAAGAAAAGTAGTTAATTTCATCCACCTTCAATCGAAGAATTTAGCTCTCCAGGTAGTTTATTTTTGCTACTCTTTGATCATATTGTACCGTAAGCTTTGCTTTTCAATTGAAATTTTCGAATCTCAATGGATATTCACCATTTTCTCCACCAATGAAATGTGTTTTTTTCCATGACTTTTCTATGGCAACATTTCATAGTTCACGTGTAATTCCCTTCTACTGTGAACCCACATTATTACTCTAAACATACACAAAGTTGACAGTGGACATCTTTCAAAAAAAGCGATACTTCTACTGATTGATCGACTCTATGGATACAATCATCTCTGTCAAAACATGAGATACATTAGCGGATATAATTGGTGTTGAAGTTTTAGTATTTCAGTTTCATTGGAATCGAGCTTAAGATGAAGGAATGCTTAATAGCTAAATGTTTTCTTTATAATTTGATAACAAATAAACCCTATTCTTATTTCAGTAGTCTTGTGTTCAGAGTATTGAATTATCGGGTAAAATCGAACCTTGGTAATAGGTGATGCGGGGTTACGAATCATGACATGTTTGTGGAAAGTCAAGAGCCTCGGGTTACAAAAGGCAGTTGGTTGAAATAAATTCAGATTTTATATTCAAAGTCGAGCGTACTTTGCTACAGTCCTCTCTGTCCTTCTGTTTGGCTGTAAAACATGGGCAATGAAGGTAGAAGACATGAGAAGGCTTCAGGTGTTTGACCATGGCTACCTTCGTAGTATAAGCCATGTTTCGTGATGTCACCACATGAGTAACGCAGAAGTCAGGTGTAGAGAGGTAAGACTATTGATGCAGTTGTGAACCTTGGTCAACTGAGATGGCTGGCTGGGCAATTTGTAACCACCTAGCTACCGTCTACCTCATCACACCGAAGTGTTTTCAAACTGGAAAATGCATGAAGTCGTTGACTATTGGTTTGAGGTATGTAGGGCGATGCAGACTAGCCGGTTTTGGTACGTGAGAAAAAAGAAACCAATCGTTGGAGACTCTAGGCTCGGAATTGATGTCATTGGCAGAGATGTATGCACATATTATCTTCATCCTGACCGCTATGCTCAATCTCATCATTTCATTGTTCCTTCTGGGTTACCACTCTCTACTTCTTTTGATTGGTTATTTTTTTCCCTCTTCATCTTTCATTTTATTGTCTTGTTACTGAATATGGTGATATGAGATGATATATGGCTGGCAACTTGGATCATTGTGCAGTCTTATGTTGATCTTGATTCATGGAGGTTCCATCAACTGTTTCACGAACCGCTACATAGGTCTTGAGTTGTTTTTTCTCCTATCCTACTTTGACTAAGAAATCAGTGGTAAAACTGGGTAATCGTTAATTGTTTCCTATCTCTCGTATTTTCGTAATGTACAAATGTGAATTCAACTTGTGTTCGCCTAAATAACATCGAGGTGAAATCGAAATATTATTATTATTTGTCCCTTGGGTTTCTAGTGGAATATAGGGCTTCACTAGCACGTCTCCATTCCACTCTCTTCTCCACAGTCTTTTGAACCTCGCTTCATGACTGCCTACAAGCTTTCATTTCTTCCTCACACTATCTCCTCCATGTCACCTTCAGCTGGGACGCCCAACTCGTCGCTTCCCATCTGGGTTTCACTTGAGGGCGTAGCCTGGAGTGTGATGTCCCCAATCGGCCTTCTCAGTGTATGCCCAATCCATCTCCACTTCGTGCTACTGCATATTTGTTGAGTGATAGATAAGTTGTTGGTTGGTTGGTTGGTTGCCAATCGGAGTGAGTTGCTTGTTGCTTATTCTTACTATTCTGGCCATCTGATGTTCAGTATGTGGCTAGCGTAGGTGGCATTTGTTGATGAACGTCTGTATTTTGTTGGAAATGCTTTTCGTAACGCGCCACCAAATCTCTGAACCATATAAAAGCGCTGACTTGACATTAAAAAATCGAATTATGCATTTCTCTTATTGTTATATTATATCGTCAATTAAATCTGTTTATGAAGTTATGACAACAATTTTTTGGACTATCTCGCTACCTAACCCACTATCTAACTACTCTTGCATAAAAGATTTCTATTCTCTATAAGAAAAGTATTTTTATAATCTCAAATATGTGTATGTTTGCTACTTATATATATATATATATATATATATATATATATATATATATATATATATATATATTGGTTTTTGGCAGTAACACCATCAAAATTAGGTATGCTCAACTACATTTCTCTCTGTGATACTTTAAGTTTATATTGATTTGATTGATGTTTGTCAATGTTCCTTTTTATGTATACTTACATAAATCTCTATGATGATCGATCAAAGCAGAGTATTTATCATGGTGATTAAAAGTGGTGTCTGTGTGTGTGTATGTGTTAATGTTGTCATGTGACATCGTATAGAATTTTTGCGAGGTCATTTGATCTTGTAAAGAAGAGAGACAGAGAGTTATGTTGTAGCATTTCATTCTGTAAGGCATGTACTAGCGTACACACACATACATACGCACTTTTCCTTTTTCCATTATACTGAGACAAACGTGTTTAGTTTTTTTTCCGAAAGAAAATGGGACTGTACGTCTCTATTGGTCAGTTACATTAAAGACATGTAATTTATAAATTAGTAGTATAGGGGACAAAATAATGATATATATATATATATATATATATATATATATATATATATATATGTGGTGACATACTGTTTGAAAGCTTTTCAATACCTGTCATGATGATGTATCATACATGGATCATCGAGTTTAGTATTGAAATAATTAATTATTATGAAGAAAATTTATCTTAATTATTGTTCTCTAGCTAGTTTTTATTTCTTTGAAGAAGATGATGATGAGAATTGAAGTGCACTATTGTCAAATATATAGGTATGAAACATGACACAATGTGTAAATTGTGATGTCGAAGATTGAAAGATAGGTAGGTATCAGAAGCAAGTGTTTAACTGTAGCCTTTCTGCTTGCCAACACTGAATACTTCTTACTGAAAACATTCTGATCCTTAGATTTGTCGTATGTGCATAATGGATTTGACTAGACACAACTCAAGGTTGTATAGCATGACTTGTAGTCCTGAAGCGAGTACTCAACACAAACGACACTACACGATTGCATTGTTAAATAGGCACAATTCTCACCACCATCCTGACCTTGACTAAACAATAGATCTTAGGGTAGATTACAACCAACGACTGGGTCATAGGTTCGAGCTCTCCTCAACCGACTGACGTTTAAGGAGCCAGTTATTATCACTAGCCCTCACAAAATGGGTGTCGCTTATTGCCTAGCGTACAGATGTGCACAAGATAGCTGAGCGTGTTTGATTAAAAAATTAAGTAGTAACTGACCAGTCTGTTAATAGTCTACTAAGTAAACAAGCTCCAATCACCATAAACACATGCAACTTAAAGGAAGTAACCTCTTTCACCTATCTAGGCAGCACTGTTTCAACTACAGGCGGCACAGACGACGAGGTCAAAGACACGATCGGAAAAGCAAGACAGGCATTCATTAACCTGAAACCAATGTCGAGATCTACTGCACTCAACACAAAGAACAAGATTCGGATTTTTAACACCAACGTCAGTCAAGTCAGTGCTTCTGTGTGGTGGTTGAGAGACTTGACGCGTTACGAAAGTCATTTCCAACAAACTACACACATTCATCAACAAATGCCACCTACGCTCGCCATATACTGAAGATCAGATGGCCAGAATAGTAAGAATAAGCAACAAGCAACTCACTCCGATTGGCAAACAACCAACAACTTATCTATCACTCAACAAATATGCAGTAGCACGAAGTGGAGATGGATTGGGCATACACTGAGAAGGCCGATTGGGACATCACACTCCAGGCCACGCTGTCGAGTGGAACCCAGATGGGAAGCGACGAGTTGGGCGTCCCAGCTGAAGGTGACATGGAGGAGATAGTGTGAGGAAGAAATGAAAGCTTGTAGGCAGTCATGAAGCGAGGTTCAAAAGACTGTGGAGAAGAGAGTGGAATGGAGACGTGCTAGTGAAGCCCTATATTCCACCAGAATCCCAAGGGACAAATAATAATGATAAAATTATTTAAGTCGTCACTTCACTTATTGTTTATAAGTTAATACAGCAGTTTCTAAAGTTGGGAACCTAGTTTATTCATTTTTGTTTAACATTAACTTTTAATGATATTGCGGATTATCTGAATGACTGATTCATCACTTCTTTAGCAAACTGATCTCGCATTACGTAGATCCAACAGGTTTCAGTGAGCTCATCCCACCACTACGTAACTGCGAATGGTAGATTCGTCTTTGACTTACTGAAAACTAGACACATTCGACACCGTAGATGAATTATTATTATTATTATTATTATTATTATTATTATTATTATTATTATTATCACTTGTCCCTTGGGTTCCTAATGGAATATAGGGCTTCACTAGCACGTCTCCATTCCACTCTCTTCTCCACAGTCTTTTGAACCTCGCTTCACGACTGCCTACAAGCTTTCATTTCTTCCTCACACGATCTCCTCCATGTCACCCTCAACACCAACGCCCAACTCATCGCTTCCCATCTGGGTTCCACTCGACAGCGTGGCCTGGAGTGTGATGTCCCCAATCGGCCATCTCAGTGTTTGCCCAATCCATCTCCACTTCGTGCTACTGCATATTTGTTGAGTGATAGATAATTTGTTGGTTGTTTGGTTGGTTGCCAATCGGAGTGAGTTGCTTGTTGCTTATTCTTACTATTCTGGCCATCTGATCTTCAGTATGAAGCGGGCGTAGGTGGCATTTGTTGATGAATGTGTGTAGTTTGTTGGAAATGCCTTCCGTAAGGCGCTTGCAACTCTCTGAACCATCACATAGAAGCACTGACTTGACTGACGTTGGTGTTAAAAATCCGAATCTTGTTCTTTGTGCTGAGTGTGGTAGATCTCGACACTGGTTTCAGGTGAATGAAGGCCTGTCTTGCTTTTCCGATCGTGGCTTTGACGTCGTCGTCTGTATCACCTGTAATTGAAACAATGAATTCATACTGCCACAGAAACCGGTCAAAGCAGATTTCCATACTCATCTAATCACATTTAACCGACAAGTTATGCTTACTGGAAGCGATGAAATCTAGTCTTATTTTTATTCATGTTTTGACAAATCTCATATGGTGTAAACTCTTTCTCTCTTTCAGTCACGTTACTCCTGCCCTAGTTCCTATGACTACACGCACAAACAAAGTAGTACATCATGCTACAAATTTGTCTAGTGGTAGTGGAGGTGGTTATCATGCCGGTTTATTGTTGGAAAGATCGACAACTTTAAGTCCAACCACTAATTCTAGTGGAAATGGAACATCATCATGTCAAGTCGCTTCATCAGCACGTGGAGGAGTAGGAGGTGATGCTGTCGGAACAGGAGAGCTACATCGTCATCAGACAGCTGTTAATGCTGCCAATCGAAGTGGGTACGTTTTTCCCAATTTTTTTTTTACTATACGAAAAGGTTTTTCGCTAACTGGAATATTAGTAAAAAAAATTTTTTTTCTCTGTTTTATTCATACCTCAGATTATTCTTTTTTCTTCAATAATGATTTTTACCTTATAGAATCAGTGATTATGGCACACCATCATCTTTCAATCGCAATGATTTCACGTATAGTTCACTTAGGTAGGATTATCTCTGTTGTTATCTCACCGGTCGTCTGATTTACTCAACTCAACATCATGTTAATTATATAACTATAGAATGATGAATGTATATCACTGCTAATCATATCTCATGGCTTATAAATTGTCATCACCTATATCGGTGTATCATTTTGGTGTGTGAATTGTTTCATTTATGGATTGTATTTGTTATTGGTTTGTATACACGTGTATCTGTAACACAACATGCGTGGTTTGGTGAATGATTAACACTGATAGATAATTATACATTGTCCGGTTTTTTGTGTGTTCCCCCCCCCTCCCATTTCTTTGCACAACATTTCTGTTTGTTTGTTGTTTTCCCGTGAATTTTAATGCACATTTCACAGAATTATGTCATAGTTATATACATTCATTGAATATTTTGTATTACTTACCTTAACTGAATCATCCTGTTTGAGTAAGGTGTTAATAGTTGAGTGTGTTAATCCCAAGTAACAGGTTAAAAAAAGGAAATAAATTGATACAGCACCTAAAATAGCCTCTTCACAAGTTGTTAAAGTAGATCCCTTCCTTTCCCAAGAGATGTTATTGCTGTGTAATGTTGATTGACCTGTTCATTTACTGTTGTAAGACCTATGTAGTAATGTATCGATTTACTGACTTTATTTCATAGTCGATAACGTCTCTATAGTAGTCGAGTGTACTGTGCTGCAGTCCGCCCTGTGAAACATGGGCATTAAAGGTAGAAGACATGAGAAAGCTTTAGGTGTTTGACCATGGCTGCCTTCGTAGTCTAAGCCATGTTTCGTGATGTCACGACATGAGTAACGCAGAAGTCAGGCACAGAGTTTTAGGCAGGAAACGTAAGACACTTAATGTGGTTGTGAGCTTTCATCAACTGAGATGGTTGAGTGGGATATGTGTTGCATATGCCAAACCACTGTCCGCCTCGTCACACAATGTTGACTGAAGTGGGTTCAGGCTGTAAAAACTCTCGAGGCGCCCAGACTGAAATATGACATCAATGTGTGAAATCTTTGACTGTTGGTTTGAGGTATGTAGGGTGATGCAGACTAGCCAGGTGTGGTGCATGAGAGAGGAGAAACCAGTGACTGGAGACTGTATGTGATCACTTGACTGATAACCGATGTCATTGGCACAGATGCATGCACAAATTATCCTCATCTTGACCGCTATACTTTATCTCATCATCATTTCATTCTTCTTTCTTCATCTTCCATTTTATTGTCTTATTACTGGATGTGATGATATGAGATGAGGTATGGCTGGCAACTTGAATCATTGTGCAGTAATACCCTGGTCCTATGTTGATCTTGATGGTGATGATAGTAGTAGTAGTAGTAGTGATAGTCTGAAGTATTTTTTTTGCTAATTCACAACCTGCATTATCACATTTCCGACCACCTCTATTCTACGCGTAAAATGTTATACTGTCAGCTTCTATCCTTGTAAATTATGTACTTGTAGGCCGTCTATAATTTCTTCGATCAATTGGAAATCCAGGCAAGCTGTTTTCTATTTGCTTGCTTATATTTATATATGTATATAGTGTAATAATATATAACAATTAACAGCTTCATATACATTTTAATACATCTTCATCTGTACCACCTTCTCTCGCATGCATTATGACTAGCTTTAATTATGCTGACTTATTGCTTTTTCATAAATGTCTAATGTTGTAGATGGTGATTAACTCTATTACAACTTTGTTCTCATTGTTTGTTTTTCTTTGCTTAATATTCTACTTAAAACTTCTTCAGTAAAATACACACTTACCCACTAAGTAGATTTGTTTAGGTTAATTGACTCAGTATCATTTTGTTATGGATTAGTCACAAATATACACTTTTCAATGAAAATATGATTATGTAATATTATTAACTATTTCACTACCTATTTAAGGGATATAATAAAAAGATTGAGTGTTTTACACCGTAGTGTATAATTTGTCTAAGATTATTAATCTTTAAAAGGGTTGATTTTCTAAAATTTTACACTAATATAAATAGTATTGACTGTAAACTTTTTTTTTCCTAGTTACTTGAGTTCATATACACTTCACTTTACTTAAAATGATATTATTATTATTATTATTATTAGGATATAATTATTTTTCCCTTGAATTCCTAGTGGAACATTGGGCTTCAGTACCACGCCTCGATTTCACTCTGTTCTCTTCAGTCTTTTAGACCTCGTTTCACGACCGCCCACAAGCTTTCATTTCTTTCTCATATGGTCTCCTCCATGTCACCTTGGGACGCCCAATTCGTTTCCCTTTTTGGGTTCCACTTGATAGCCTCCTCAATGTATGCCCAGTCCATCTCTACCTCCTTCGTCATATATGTTGAGTAATAGGTTGTTGGTTGGTTCGTTAGTAGCCAGCCAGAGTTCCTTGTTGGTTATTATTTCTGGCCATCTGATAATAACATACAAAATTAATTGGTCGTTATCAGTAGATATTTGGAGTGTGAATTTTTTTACTACTGGATAAGAGCAATTCAGCGATTGTATCTGATCGAGGTAGTCGAGACAATAGGAATCAATTGTTGGAGACCCTTGATGATGTGACAGTGAGAGTGATGTCTTCTAAACGAATAACCTTCATTTTTAAATTCTATCTCCTCTCATACACTTTTGTCTATTTTGATATTACTCTTTTTCAATCCTCCTGATCTTTGTGTATTTCTGTAAAGTATTGCAATGTAAACCGATATACTTCTGTGTGAGGTTCTACTTTGATTTTTTTTTCTGTTTAACTGGACTAGTGAAGATTGTGACGCGCTGTACAGCTGAGGTCTAACTCATTTCAATGCTTTGAGGCTGTCGTGTTCAATTCTTGTTGATCTTATGAAGTTGTGCGATAAGGTGTTTATTATCTCTTCCATGTTTATTTCAATCTAATAGTAAGGAGGTGTTAACCATGTACAAGTTTGTCTTACATTCAAAACTATTTCTCAAAATGGAATAACATTAGTTTACAGAACCATTGAAGACCTTGGAGCACTGGACAGCTGTTTCCCATTATTATGGTACTCCTCAGCAGTTTACACCCATTATCTCCCACCAGGGATCGGACTCAGGACTTTCAGGTTCGCCACTAGGTCGAAATTCAATGATCCAGTACTTCCAAATTTTCAATGTTTATCTAAACTGATGTCACTCTATGACGAATACCAACTTAAAATCAATAAAATCCTCACAAACTTACAAATTGAAAATGGGAATAGCCATACCATAATGCAGCATAGTTTGTGATCTGATTTCTTTTCGAAGTGGTATGCTTACAGACCTTCAGTCTTTTATAAGACATGGTTGAACACTTTTTTGTAATGTTAATGATGATAATGATTTTTCTTTTGCTAAAATTATTTTTTACACGTATAAATATGTTTTTTTAAGAAATTATGTTTTCAATTTTATTTTATTTTGACTTCATTTGTTTGGCATCATAGTTGCTTATTAGAGAATCGCTTGTCTGTAAGGAAATGTGTACGTAGATGTTTCGATTTATCGTTAATACCTTGTAGTGTTTCATGTGATGTAATGGTATTTTGACCATCTATACCATAAATATACTATACTTTAAAAGTAACCGTTAGAAAAAACAAATGAGTGACTTTCAATGACAGTCTTACACCAATTGAAATGACTAATAAGACTTTCTCTATTTTATGAAAACCAGTCTTTCCAATCGAAATAAAGAAATCCAATTGACCATTTCAGCCATTGGTCTTAAAAGTCACTCAAAAAAAACCCATTTCAACTTGAATTTTTGTAGAGATTTATTGATTCCAAGTAGGTATTCATTATGGACTAGAGAAACCTTTGTAAACCTCAAAGCACTAAACGGCTGTCTTGTCCTACTATGGGAGTCGCCAGCAGTGCGCACCTATGACCCTATGAAGAATAGAACCTGTTTGATTCCAGCCTAGTGGTTCAAGAGTGACATACTGGTCGCGGAACTTCAAGGTTCTGCCTTCCATCCCTAGCTGGGTCATGGACGTCTATTGCTCCCAGGCTTTTAATGTTTCTCCAACTGATGTCGCTTCATGATGAATACCTACGTGATATCAAATTATTCTTTTTCTATTGGTAAAAGTTGATGAAAATCAGTGAAAAATCATAATCATCATTCATTGTTAGGATGTATTGTATGTGACATTATATTATATATTTGTCCTTTGGGTTGCTAGTGGAAAATGAAGCTTCAGTAGCACGTCTCCATTCCACTCTCTTCTCCCCAATCTTTTGAACCTGACTCCACGACTTCCCAGAAGCTCTCATTTCCTCCTCGCACGATCTCCTGTCACCTTCAGCTGGGACGCCCAACTCGTTGTTTCCCATCTGGGTTTCACTTGAGGGCGTAGCCTGGCGTGTGATGTCCCCAATCGGCCTTCTCAGTGTATGCCCAATCCATCTCCACTTCGTGCTACTGCATATTTGTTGAGCGATAGATAAGTTGTTGGTTGGTTGGTTGGTTGCCAATCGGAGTGAGTTGCTTGTTGCTTATTCTTACTATTCTGGCCATCTGATGTTCAGTATGTGGCTAGCGTAGGTGGCATTTGTTGATGAATGTGTGTAGTTTGTTGGAAATGCCTTTCGTAACGCATCAAGTCTCTGAACCATCACACAGAAGCACTGACTTGACTGACGTTGGTGTTAAAAATCCGAATCTTGTTCTTTGTGTTGAGTGCAGTAGATCTCGACATTGGTTTCAGGTTAATGAATGCCTGTCTTGCTTTTCCGATCGTGTCTTTGACGTCGTCGTCTGTGCCGCCTGTAGTTGAAACAATGCTGCCTAGATAGGTGAAAGAGGTTACTTCCTTTAAGTTTCATGTGTTTATGGTGATCGGAGCTTGTTGTTGTTGTTGGTGGTGGTGGTATTGGTTGAATATCTTCATCACCTCCGTCTTCTCTATATTCACTTCAAGTCCTCTCTTCGCTGCCTAGCCTCTTCTGCTAACTTGTTAGTTTTCACCTGTACATCTTCATGTTTGTGTGACATTAGATATAAGTCATCACTGGCGAAATACAAATCTTCTAGGATGTTTTCCACGGTCCAGCGTATTCCCCTATTCTCACAGCTTCTCACAGTTTGTTGCATGATCCAGTCCAGTCGACCACAATCAGGAATATCATTGGTGATAGTAGGCAGCCTTGTCTTACTCCCTCCTGTCTCCACTTCACTTCAGTGGCATCACTCAGCTTCCCATTGTGAATTACTTGGCATGTGGCATCTTCATATACTTGTTGAATGAGATTGATGACGGTTTGTGGTATTCCGTAGTGTTGAAGCAACTGCGAAATTACTTGTCGGTTGACCCTGTGAAAGGCCTTCTCAAAGTCGATGAAGTTGAGTTGAGGAAGAGTGTTTACTGCCATTCTATACTCTGTTCTCTGATGATACAAATCGTTACAATTGAATCCTCACACGCCTTGTACTTCCTGAATCCAGCCAGCCAGTCAGCCTGTTCCGGTCGTAGATTAGGATGTTTTGGTAGACACGTATTGAATTCCTTAATCAAATGAAGTTAACTAATGTACAGTATATATCTGAATGATCAGACCATCACTATTCGCACTGCGCAATGATATGAAATCAACTTCAGTTTATGCTGTTAATGTACAACGTAATTAAAGTTGTTCCTTTACTAGTAAAGTTACCCTTCAATATTTACAATACAATAAAGTAGTCTAATTCCCCTCAAATTCTTATCATACTTACATATCTAATTCTCCTGTGTTGATCGCTTTACTTCATATGTGTAATATTTTCTCGGCTACAGAAATTCTAATTTTTTTTTTTGAGAGGGGTGGGGAAAAGGTATTTTAAATTTGTGAATGACAACAACTGTGCATAGGTTCCTGTAGTCGATAACTAGGGAGTGGAAATCTCCTTTTATATACAGTGAACATAGAAAGTGTTCTGTCTTTGTGCTGTACTACTTGTAAATTATTGTTGTCGTCCATTTCATGTTAAATTCAACTCATTTCTTACATTTTATTCGATTTCTTAACGAATATCTATTCAGTTATGCATTGACTTTATGTTTTTCAGTTTTATAACAACTTGACAAAAATGATTTTCAAGGTATTATATCCCCCCCACCCCCACCCCTTAATACAATATTATTTTTGTCAATAATCAATTAATTTAGCTAACATAAGCCTAAGTGAACCAAAGTATTTTCTTAAAATCAATTTTACAAACTGTACACCCTTCACCTTTAAAGTATATGTGCAACATAGGGACAGAATGTGAAGTCTATTTAATCTGCCTACATTGTTTTAGGTTATCTTTCCCATGATTAGTTACGTAATTATCAGCTTTTTTTAGAATGCGTAGGCTGCATATTTTATCGATCATTTCTTATAATCTTCCCATTGAGATTATTATTATTATTTGTCCTTTGGGTTCCTAGTGTAAAATAGGGCTTCAGTACCACGTAACCATTTCACTCTCTTCTCCGCAGTCACTTGAAATTACCTCCACGACTGCCCACAAGCTTTCATTTTTTCCTCACACCATCTCCTGCATGTCACCACCGGACAGCCACTTAGTCCTTTCCCATTTGGCTTCCATTCGACGGCCTGGTCTGACGCGTGATATCCCCGAATGATGATCTGATCCATCTCCACTTTCTTCTCCAGCATATTCATTGGGCGACAAGTTTTTGGTCGGTTGGTTCGTTGCCAGGCCAGAGTTCTTTGTTGTTTATTCTTATTATTCTGGCCATGCGATATTCAGTGTCAGTATCGAGTCGGCAGCTATTGATGTGATGTATGTCTGCAGTTTGTTGGAAATGTGATTCGTGATGCGCCGCCAACTCTCTCAACCATCACATAGAAACATTGACTTACTTGACTGAATTAGTGTCGAAAATCCGGATGTTGTTCACGCTTTATGCTGAGTGCAATGCAGTGCGGTAGATCTTCACACTGATTATTTCATTCTAATGAAGGCCTGTCTGATTGCCTTTCCGATCCTGGCTTTGACATCGTCATCTGTGTCGCCACTGCCCGCCTTTAGTTGAAACGATGCTGCCCAGGTATGTAGGTTGGTGAAAGAAGCAACTTCCTTTGGATTTCTCCTATTAATGGTGATTAGTACGTGTTTTTGGTTAGGCTTCATTACCTCTGCCTTCTCTATGTTCACCTGAAGTCCTGTCTTCGCTCCTTCGTCTCTTCTGCCAACTTGTTAGTTTTCACCTGTAGATTTTCGAGTTTGTGCGACATGGGACATAAATCATCAGTGAAATGCAAATATTCTAAGGTCTTTTCATCTGTCCAGCCAGCTTATGCCTTTCTTCTCAATTTTAAAGTATGACTGAATAGCATTACTGTTTTATAGACACAAATCAATGTAAGATCTTCCATACAAGTGGATCGGTCCAAATTGCCACACTTTATAGTAGTGGACAAAGTTGTATGAGAGAATGAACAATTTGAAGATAACAATTAGTGAATATATTCAAACTTTATATAAGATATCAAGGAGTGAATACGTCTCCCCTATTGTGACCGATTTTTAGCCATGTAGAATAATATAGAGAGAGCTGTTCAGTGTCAGTAGTTAACCATAGTAACTGTTTTGTTTTTAACATTCACAATCTAAAGTTTTTCTATCATTATAACTATAATATGTGAAGTATAGCCCAGTAAATGAATGAAATTTATTCCTGTTTCTGGTTAACTTATTACTAAACTATCTACATTCTACAAGTAAACCATATGCATATTAATGCATTAATCAATAAGCCAGCTACACGTTATTTTGTAAAATTTGATGATACTAACTGACTACTTAGGTAAAGGGAAGTTTGAATGCGTTTCCTGTTAAGTGTGTAATCTGCTCACTTGAACCATATGAATAACGGCTCTTATCAGCACTTATTCTCTAGTGTTCAGTTTCATAGTTCATATCATGTTTATTTTATATAAACTATGATCAACATTTACTCGTATCATCATCATCATCATTATCAACATAGGACCAGGCATTACTGCGTAACTGTCCGAGTTGCCACACCTCATACCGTTACGCAGTAATGCCTGGTCCTATGTTGATAATGATTTACTCGTATAGTATGACAAATATTGGGCATAGAGTAAAAGGTTAACATTAGATATAGAATTGTATTTGTGTAAGTTACACTGAGTGTGAAATCAAACAATTTCAACGTTGTTTTGCACGGAAGTCTGATCCAAGCTTCTTCAGGGAAATAATCAAAATTAAAATACCAAGGATATATGCAAATCAATCCAAAAAGAAACGTGTATTTAATCTCTTTGTTCAATCCTCTGTGTATAGTCATTGTCTTTATCTAAATTATGATACCTAATCATTTAGTGTGAAATTGTATGTCTCTTGTATAGTGTGTGGTGTGGATGTGTATGTACTCCAATTCATATTCGTCTTGATTGTAAATCTCTTCGCATTGTCCTTGGGTGACAGTCATTTGGTCGCGATCATGTTACACTCCATAGAAATGGAATACAAAATTGACTTTAATGGAACTAAGGTTCTATCAAAAAAGGTTTTAGGTCATATCAAGAAAGACTGACAGCCGATAGCCCTATATATATATATGGGCGAATGCAGACAATTTGAAAAGACGAGATGGAGTAATGTTAGTTGCCTACCTTGGTAATTACTAATTAGTAAGCAGAAAGAGTGACTCAAAACATTTACCATCAACACTAATTCAAAAACAACACAACCAGCACTGATCTCATTCATTATTACTATCATCATCATCATCATCATTCATATCACTCATTTTCACTCTATCCCGGTAAATCAATGCGAAGAGATTTACAATACAATCAAGACGAATATGAATTGGAGTACATACACATCCACACCACACACTATACAACAAGAGACATACAATTTCACACTAAATGATTAGGTATCATAATTTAGATAAAGACAATGACTATACACAGAGGATTGAACAAAGAGATTAAATACACGTTTTTTTTTGGATTGATTTGCATATATTCTTGGTATTTTAATTTTGATTATTTCCCTGAAGAAGCTTAGATCAGACTTCCGTGCAAAACAACGTTGAAATTGTTTGATTTCAAACTCAGTGTAACTTACACAAATACAATTCTATATCATGTTTATTTCATTAGTGTTGAAATGATGAAACAAGTTATTTCAATCGGTCTCCTTCAATATAGATTATGTTTTATTTCGTTTGTATGTAATTCTATAGTATAGTCAAACATTTAGATCTTTAACTGATATCGAGGTTCATCATTCATTTTTCTGTATCATTTTTGTACAGTGAATTCATTCCATTCCGTGGAAGTTGTTTCTTTGTGTGTGTGTGTGTGTGTGTGTGTGTGTGTGTGTGTGTGTGTGTGTGTGTGTGTAATACGTTTGCTGACATGTTTATCACTTCTGTTGCTGTATGATTAAAATTCAAGTAACCTGTACACTATTATATTGGAATAATTGTCCACTGAAATTTTTTAACGGTATAAAGGATTTTTTTTTCTAATTTACGAATACTTTTTTTGTATGTACAGTATTTCACGCAATGAATTTTATGCACCAGTTTTCTATGTCATATACTTTTTTCTATTTATTGTACACTTCATAGTAAAGAAGTAGGGTTACTTTTTCATTTGATCTTTCAGAATGGGATCATCATCATCGAATCAGGCGCCTACTGCTATCTCTGTTACTGGACGTCGTGGAGTTACAATTACAAATGCTATTAATAATACTTCTTCTGGAATTAACAATGGTATAGGAACTATTTTGGAGACGACACCATTTCCTAGACTTACACCAGAACGTCGAACAATTCATTCACCAAACCAAGCAAATATAGAATTTGATTTTGATGCATCAAATACAAACCCGAACAACACTATAGCTGCTCGTTGTATGAATGTACCTCTCGCTGGTGCTGGGGTATCGAACACTGGTGGGATGACCCATTTAACTCCCGCTGGTACTAGTGGACTTACTTTCTTTAAGGCGCTTACTTCTAAAATTGGTCGACGGTGAGATATTTCCCTTTTCTGAATTATTATTGGTATCCTTCTGTTTAAACGTATTATTGTTATTATTATTTCCCTTAGGTTCCTAGTGGAACATAGGGCTTCAGTAGCAAGCCTCCATTTCACTTTGTTCTCTGCAGTCTTTTGAAGCTGGTACCACGACTCCCCACAAGCTTTCATTTCTTCCCCACGTGATCTCCTTGTCACCCTGGGACGCCCAACTCGTCGTTTCCACTTTGGGTTCCAGTCGATGACCTGGTCTGGCGCGTGATGTTCCCAGTTAGCTTTTTCAGTGTACATCGAATCCATCTCCACTTTTTGCTGCATATTTGTTGTGTGATAGGTTCTTGGTTGGCTCGTTGCCAGAGTTCCTTGTTGCTTATTCTTTCTGGCCACCTAATCTTCAGTATTGAGCCAGCGTAGGCGCAGCTGTTGATGAATGTCTGTAGTTTGTTGGAAATGCTTTTCGTGACACGCCAAGTTTCTCAACCATATATCAGCAGTGACTTTACATTGGTGTTGAAAATCCAGATGCTGTTCATGCTTTGTGCTGAATGCAGTGCAGTAGATCTCCACACTGATTTCAGATTAATGAAGGCCTGTCTAGCTTTTCTGATCCTGGTCTTGACATCGTCGTCTGTACCGCCTCGTGTAGTTGAAACGATGCTGCCTAGGTAGGTGAAAGAGACTACTTCCTTTAGGTTTCTCCTGTTCATGGTGATTGGTGCTTGTAGTTGATGCTGTTGTTGGTTGCGTATCTTCATCACCTTTGTCTTCTCTAAGTTCACTTGAAGTCTTGTCTTCGCTGCCCCCTACCTCTTCTGTCAACTTGTTAGTTTTCGCCTGTAGATCTAGTTTGTGCTACATTAGATATAAATCATCATCGTTGGCGAAATCCAAATCTTCTAGGCTTTTTTCATTAGTCCAGCGTATGCCTATCTTCTCTTTTCTCACTGTTTGCTGCTACACGTAATCTCCTCCAACGAAAAAGTGTAAGGTTTTTTTACAACAATAGTAATAGTAGTAATAATAATGGCTTTACGTTGACTTGAGTATTTTGAAGATGGAATTTTTGAGCATATCTCTATTTTTATGTTTGGTTTTTGGCTGAGTTTTAGTAAGGATGAAAATGACATTGCTGTTGAACACATTAAAAGATTTCAATGGAGTTGAGGTCAAATACATAAATCGCATATTATTCATTTTCTTACCTTGCTCATTCATATATTAAAATGCACCTCAATGCTAATTGGTGACTTTTTAGAACTATAGCATATTTCCTGGAAAATGAATATTACTTATGTAGTCTACATGGTGTCTAGGAGTTGAATCCAAGATGCACGTTTCGTCCTATTTGGGACTCATCAGCCGGATGTACCTGCACCACTCCAGGGAGGGATGTTGTTTCCACTGAAACTCAAACCCAGTATCCATCGCTTGAAACGCCAAAGCCTTACCTACTATGCCAATTTTATTTATCCAACGTAAGATATTTAAGTAGTAGTAGTAGTAGTAGTAGCAGCGATCAACATTTTGCTTGAGTCTTATGCTTTTCAGTAGCAGAACATAAGGCACTGAAGGCCTTGCCATAACCTTATACACCTATATCTAACTTAGTTGTAATTCCCAGCAGACGAATGATTGGATGAAAAGCTGGAAATACAAAAGCTTGTTAAATAAAATGTATTAGCTATCTATCTGTATTTCATTTCAATACCATTTAGATTCCCTGTCACCATTTCCCTGGGAGTAGTAAAAACTAACAGTAAGATATTGCCTACATAGTAATAGTACTATATGATTTTTTATTACCTGAAAACTATTTTATGTATTTTAGAGGACCTAACAGTTCACAACTTGGCAATATGCCCCATGCCCTTCCGGGGGGTACTGATATTTCACATATTCCATTCTCTGCAGCCGAAAGTAATATTGGGGCTTCTACAACCAGTTCAGGATCGGGTTATCTACCTGGAGAGTCCGTTTTTTCTGATTCTAGTATACATGCAGGTTATAATGAACCTGTAAGTCAAGCAACTCCTGGTGGTAGTTCTACAGGCTCTCCTGTATCCCAAGGTGGAAATCAAACAATTTCACATGTAGACGATAGTGTTAATGATCAAACAAAACCACGAAGTTTACGTTTTACCTGGTCTATGAAGACAACAAGTAGTATGTGCCCAGATGATATGATTAAAGAGATAAAAAAAGTTCTCACAGCAAATAACTGTGAATATGATCAACGTGAAAGATATCTTCTCATATGTGAACATGGTGATCCAAGTACTGATACAAATGTTCAATGGGAAATGGAAGTTTGTAAACTTCCACGTTTATCGCTTAATGGAGTTCGTTTTAAGAGGATTTCAGGAACTTCTATTGGATTTAAAAATCTTGCTTCCAAGATTGCTAATGACCTCAAACTTTAAACGATAATACTTTTTTCTTTTCTGTTTACTAATCTATTTTATATCTCATTGCAAAACATCACGTAGCTATTTACCTTTGTGTATGTTCAAAGTGCCAGATTGTAGCTATTCAATAAAGAATTTCAGCTATCATTAACACATGCTCAAAAATGTGGTAGTTTTTATGCAAAACCTCTTGTTTGTTTGTTTGTTTGTTTGTTTGTTTTTCCCGAATGTTATACTGTGGTGTTGTTTCCTTGACATATATATATATATATATACAGCCTATAATGACAGATATTTCGTGATTTCGTGTTTACCCTTCGTCTGTACACATTTGTACAGGCTATAGACAATATCTACTTCGTATACTTGTGTGTAGATCTTCTACTTCAAATTCTCTGATTTGTATTTTATTGGTTATTTTGAAGTAAATTTTGTTGAAATACATTTTTGTATTCTTCAGTTTATGCTATCGCTTTGATTTATATGTTAAATTTGCACACTAGATACAATGCACACTACTCTTATCCATCAATATTATTATGCAACCACTTGACGTTTATTGAATTTCTGTGAAAAGTACCCTCAGGATTTCTTATTTGTTAAAATGTTTCATTCATGCTTTCCTTCTAATTAGTATATTGAGATGTGTATTCATCAACAGAATGAAAGTTTCATTGCTGAAGATAATGACTACGCCTATGTCGTATACATATTTTTGTATTCCTATCTGTCTCTGATTACATCATCAGCATTGATTAATTTTATATTGTCATTACACTTGATGAAAAGTGTTTATAAACTATCTCCTAGTCTTCACTCAATTGGTTATATAATAAATGAATTATCTGTATGTATGTATGCTAAAATTCCTAATCTTTACTTTTCATTATGATCTCTTCTGGGGTTATCTTTCATTGTAATCACTCTTTTCCATATTGGTTAGTCATCTACTCCATTTTAACATATATCATTAAAAAAAAAGGGTCACTTATTGGGTTTTTTTTGTTGTCATGTATGTAGTAGTTAAGTTATTGTTGTTTTCCCCCGTAGAGATTTGGTAATCTCAACATTTTTGTTGCATGAATCAATAAACTGTTTCAGTATTCCTGTAGTAGTATTCTCTATAATGCTTGATGTTCTGTTTTCTCTCTATTTAATAAGTATACAAGTGTATATTTCTCTTCTCTTTGTATTGATCTATACATGCGCCGCTTGTTTTGTTTTCTATATGATGAACTAACTGAATACTTTCCAAGGAGAGAGAGAGTGAGTGAGTGAGTGAGTGAGAGACGGTCTGAATCTCCTGGCAAGTGTCTAGTTGATTCTCAGTCTCTTTTTCTTTGAATTTAGGGAATGATGTCAGTGTAATTAATTAAGTTAGCTAACATTGGCTCCCCCCCCCCTCCTTGTACACGTTTTCTCGTCCATTTCACTGTAAACCTCATTTATTCATTCTAATGTGTATTCTATGGAGAGATTTAATGCCTTTAAATAGTAACAATAACACTCACTATTATTATTATTATTGTTATTATCATTTAGAGGTGTGTCTCTACGTATTCTATCTGAATCTCCTTATTGATGATCGTACACATGACGTTGAATAGTTGAATACAAGTTTATAAATGCACCTTGTTTTAATGCTTCACTACTCATACACATACACACCTTCATTCAAGTGCATTTTTCCAAATGTACAAACCCAATCTTACTACTATGTGCACGAGAATTTTTTTTTTCACCATTAATATCTTATTGAATTCTCTTATTTATTACTTTATCTTTTCCAATCTTCTCTTCAACTTTTACATTTTTCTATTTGTGTGATAGAATGAGTCCAGTTCATTCTATAAAAGAAATATTGACTTTGATACAAGTCTCTCTCTCCCTCTCCCTCTCTCATTCGCTCGTTCATCCGTTCATAAACAATTATTTTCTGAATAGTTTTATAGTATTCATGATCCTTTTGTCTTCTTACTTCTCTGTATGTTTAGTTATCGCATTGATGTGATATAACTATTTCATTTGCTTGTAATTTGACAGTATACTGATTGTCTCCTTCATATTGACCTGTCTTTATATGTGTCTTCTGTGTATTTCATACAGGAATAATACACATTGTTTATCTACACTGTGAATTATTCATTTATATCTGTGTAAGTTGGATATGTTATTGCCTATTTCAGGCAATATTCTTTGTGTTGTTCCCTATATTGATGGATTATGTTATTAATAGGTTTTCGCCGGTGATTTTTCTCCTTCTTACTTTTCTTTTTTTTTTTGGCAAAAATAAAAATTCAGCTTGTTTCCTATTTGAAAGTTAATCTTGTTTAATTGCCATTTACCATCAATAATTTTTTTTTGCTTTTTCAAGTTGGTTGCTAGTGTGCTTTTGTCGACCTCATGTGTGTGCAAAGAAAACGTTATCTGGTAGGTTAGAAAACAAGGGATTATCATTCTAACAATAATCAATATTATTAAACAATGTTTTCTACTTGATAGAGAATAACTACTTGTGTTATATTCATGCATACATTTACACACACTGTTACCCCTCCCTGAACCCCCCCCCTTCCATTCCCCATTGTCGTTTTGTTTGTCCTTTAAGAACTCTGTGTGATTCATTATTAGTTCAGAGAAGTTGTTGTTCAACTTCATCTTGTATACCCGTTTCTAAAGGCTACATCGATTTCGCACACACACACACACACACACACACACTGACGTATATACACATCATCTTGTCCAACTTCGCATATATATACATATATATATATATATATAATCTACCATATTTACCGAGATTCTACAGTCACGTGATCATCTTAATGCACTAAATTGTGTAGAATTCCTGCTACAAATGAATGAAACTAGTGTTTTACACATTGACTTCTTTCTCACTTTGTTTCGTTTTTTTTTTGCCTTGTTGATGTTTGTTCCCAGTCAAAGTAACAATGGTGATGTTGATGATAATAATAATGCTGCAATTCGTGTGAAATTCTTGAATACAATCCACGCACTTATGCACTATTAACATTGAAAGAGACAAAAGTATTGCTTAAAGTATCAAGCGAGAAAATGTATTGATGATATAGTCAATTGATATAAATTTCATTCTGATAAATTATCTTGCTATCTAGTATAGTCCGTGTAGATTTCGCCTGTGCAGCTACCCACAGACTCCATTTAGTAAGAGTTAACAATTCACTGACTAACTAACGTTTTAGCATGGAATATATCATAATATGACTAAAGACTGGCTAAAATGTATCTAAAGATGAATTCAATAAAGTACGTTCTGTTCAAGTTTGTCTTAATACTTCCCGTGGAGTTGTAACTCATTGATTTAGGTAGTAAGTCGTGGGCTTGAATATCGTTCCACCTAATAGAGTTTAAACAGCCAAATAGCATCATTTAACTTCATTCAATAGGTATGAATCACTGCTTACTGTACCAGTGTGCACAATGTTGCTAAGTTGACTTCCATTTCGAAATAGTTGACCTTTATTCTGTCAAGTATAGTTCATTAACACTGTTAGTCTATGTTTACAATTATCCCACTTAGACGTTAGTATGTAGAAAATGAGGAAAATAATGATTTCTATACAAATGGGTGTGACATCTTAGGATGTATTTCTAATACTTCATGCTTTCAGAAAGTTTGGACATATATCAGTCTTTCAAAGATATTATTCCCATGTTTTGTATCGTTGCTTAGTAATATCAGTTTATCTTAACCATATGCATATCATATCACCTATTATAAATGACGAAGTAACTACTAAATGAATAATTTGACGTGAGTTTTTACACTTCTTACATAATTATCCCATTTTCGAATTATTTACTTTCGAGATGTATTATTTCCTTTTCTTATCATTTAATTTAACTACCAACTGATTTTCCAAAAAAAAATAGATCAACCATGATCTTCAACTATGATGGTAAATCTTCATCGATATGTGTAGCTGAGAAATGTGTTGCGCACCCGTACTCACCATCTATCCATTCATAGGATGTTAATGGAAATTGACTTAGGCTGGAAAGAGGTAATAGACAACTGGACTAAAACGTGACATCAGTTCATGAAGTCTCCGGGTGTTGAGTTGATTAGGTAAAAATGTACACTGCCAGGTTAGGATCTATGTTGCAACTGAAACCAACCCGTCGTGGATTTTAGGTGGAATGGCTCCGAATTGATTGCAGTAATGTAAATGCATCTACACATTATCTTCGTCCTAATCGTCATGTCACTATTGTCATACCCACTATTCTTATCATTTTATGCGACTTTTTATCAACTTTATCTTCTATGTTCCCCTCTTTCTTGTATTTTTCTGCCATGTATTTTCATGTGTTGATGTGGTATAGCGAAATTAGTGACCTGTTATAATTTGGTTAGTGAACCTCCTACTTGACTCACTTCTCTGATTTTAGTTCTATATTTAGTTGGAGCATTAATCATGCAGGCAGTTCTTCTGAGACTAGTTTTTTGTCTTTGAATCGTTTAGTGGAACGAAATGTACTGCTGTTCGGTATACTTTACTTCATAAACAGTAAGGGCTGTTACTTCTCAGTCTGACTTTTTCGATATAACCGTTATCTAAACAGCTGTGCTACGCATCATCATAGAACAGAACATAGAATGCCAGTCAACCGGTTCTCTACCTCAACTTCACCGACTTAGGAAAGACCTTCGATCGAGGCGTCAAACGAGATGTAATTTGGCAGGCAGCTGCTTCAACACGACGGTTTTAGTGCCACAAACCTTTATCAACCTGATTCAACAGCAGCCACATGCTGTGTGATGCTAGTTGCCAAGTGATTAACAACGGAAAGCTCAGTGATTCCTTTGAAGTGGAGACGGGAAGGAGTAAGAAAAGGTTGCCACCTACTATCACCAATGATCTTCCTGATTGTGGTCGACTGGACTGGATCATACAGGAAACTGTGAGGAGAGAGAAGAGGGACATGATGATTTATGTCTAATGTCTTGTAGCACATACATGCGTGTA